TATATATATATAGATACAGAGATAGAGTGGTAGGTAGGCCTATCAACTCGGCGTGCTTGCGCATTTGCAGATGGCATGGGAGAGACAGCAAACACTACACCTGAACCTGGACCACAAGGCACGAAGACAAAGGGACCACACTATTGCCCTTACGACCAAGACGGATATCAATAGTCCTCGCAGCACAATAGAAAGTAATCACCGAGTCGGCTGATTCCAGCGGCGGACTGCACTTCAGCGAGTTCGACAAACATAGCTGCAATAAACATAGCTGCAATCTTCATGTAAGAGTTTTCTTCTCTATGCAGTCGTCGGTAAGGACGAGCCACAACGTGCGGGCTAGATTTGCGGTCCTGTTCATAAGAGCTCTGTTATTATTGCTACCAGCTTTGCTGCGGTTTCTGTCAAGACCCTACCTAGCCTTACTAGAGAGACGCTTTAGTGATTAGAGCAGGGTTTGGAATCTTTTTTCCTGCCCACTGGCCCACTGTATTTACCCTATAGTGTCGGGTTTCTAGTCGGCTCCGTAGGGTTCAGGATTCCATTGATGAATGCTGGCTGCTGAGGGCGTTCTGCCCTACCTCCTGAACACTATAGTGCGCGGCTGGCCTGTCCGTTGATACTGTAATGCATCCTGTCTCCCTGGTGCTCGTTCGGGTTTGGTCGCGCAATGTGGCTGGATGTCTTTCTGCAGCTAAGAATGGAAGAAATCTTCGGACATAACTAATTGAGGCTGGGCAGTCTCAGGCTCAGGAAGGGCGGCTGCCGTTGCTGCTGCTGCTGCCGCTGCTGCTGCTGATAATGCTAGCTCTTAAAGCCAGACAGGCTTCATCGTGCGAGCTTTGTTCTAAAACTACTGTCCCCTCGAAATGGACTGTCTCTGCAAACCCCAGCTCAAACACGAATCAATTGCCCTGACTTCCGCTGCTTCTGTCTCTCTAGCTTTTATCGTCATCGAATCGAACCCATCATGGCCCATGGGACCCCCCTACCGAATCCCCCTGATGCAAAGACTTCCGGGCAGGGCGGTCTAGCAGTAGGTGAGACATGAGCTCCGACAGGTAGCTGGATCTCCGAAGCACTCTCTGCTATGCTTCCAAGTCAAGCTCGATACTTATTATTATTCATTTGGGATAGGTTTGAGGGACCCTCTTGATACTGTAATACCTAAGAGATATAACGGATTCCTGAGACTCTGATTTCTACATAGATAACAACCAAACCCTAAATGCTATGCCGTGTTATGTGTCAGGGTTGCATAGGTTAGAAGATGTTGGAAGGCTTGTCACATGAACCTCCCACTCAAAGATCAACACCCTGCTCGCCGCTTGTTTGGCGGATGTTTGCCGTCACCAGCCCTGATGAAATCGCGATCACGGTTCAGAGTTTGGAAGGATGAGGTTGCGTGTCTGCTACTGATTGAGTTTGCGCTATGGGGCTAAAGTGAGGTTTTTTTACAATGGGTTCCAACCACCAAGAAGTCGGCAAGGGTTCCCAAACCAGACCTTACGCCCCAAACTTCTCCCTCGCCCTGATGGGTCGCATGGAGCAGCCCGGAATTTTCGGGGAACCATTCAGGCACCCGATGGATTAACCTCTAAAGCCGTGGCAGGTTTTACAGCGTCTTCGAGGACACCCACATGATGGTGCTTGCAGTTCTCGGCTTAGGCCATAGTCTCAGTCTTCCTGAAGACGGAAATTCTATAGTCTAGAATGATGGATTTGCGATGTGGTGCTTAACTCGGGTGCTGCTGTTGCTGCTACGATGACCACTGCCGTCGACTTCTGCCACGACCACTACCGCCACCGTTACCACCACGACGATCATCATCGCCACCATCACCAGAACCACCACCGCCGCCACTGCCAGCAGCAAGCAGTGTGCTTGTATATCAGCTATGGGGTCGTGTGCATGATTCTTAGGACGTCTTACGACTTCTCCCGGTAGGATGAGTGCTGCTTGCTTACTCGCAATATCGGTTGAAAGATGTCTTCGCCAGTTCACGAGCTGAGATTTCATTTCGGTTCAGGGTTTGGTGTTCGGCTCGGTGGTCGAGTGGAGCTTAGGGGCTGAGTAGGTAACCTTTAACCCTTTGGGCTTTATATAATCCTACTATAGTTGAAAAGTCCCTAAGGTAGAGATTTCGGCAGGCCCTGATGAACAATGCTGCGCATCTACTGCAGGTACTATGGCCTACCATGGAGCCTTGCGACGGGTGCGGTCCTTAGGGTTTAGGGGCTTAGGGTAGTAGAGCACTCTAGGCTCTGCAAAAAAGATTGGTATCCACCGTCGTAGCCACAGGAAAGACTCGCGCGGAAGCGGCTTAACAAGTTCGAGACATTTTGCTTAGGGGCTGAGTAGGTGACCATTTCCCTTCTGGGGCTTTTTCATCCTACCATGGGTTTAGGGTTTAGGGTTTAGGGTTTAGGTCAACTTTTTTGGGGCCAGGGTACTCAGCCGCCAAGTATACTGTCCCACGATACTACAGTCACCAGCTTACAGGCCTGAAGCCCGGAATGTCACACGTGAAACCCTAAGGGCGAACTAGGTTTTAGGGCTTGGGTTTAGGGTTGAGGGTTTAGGGTTTAGGGCTGCCAGGACCGATGGGCATAGGTCCGTAGGGAGGGCTCTTGGGGTCATGTCAAAGAGTTCAGGGCTTCGGGGCTACTTGATGGCTGGAGGATGTAGGGCTCTCGGGGTTTTGGGGTTTGCATATCCCTAAGCCCTAAGACTGGAAAAGCATACAAATCGTATCCACTTTGGGGTCTAAAGTCTATGGATAGTATATTGGGATTCTCCGGTCTATAAATGGTACTTTGGGGTCTAAAGTCTTCAAGCAGTGCCTATTTTGTGCTGTTTAGAGTCTTAGAGTACGTGCACCCGCAAGCGAAGGCGGGCCATTCTTGAAGGGAAAGGACCCACAAGACTTTTGTGTATATCCCTTATCCGAATCATCACTAGCAGTTTTTGGTTGGTTATGTGAACAATTCGTAGTATACTCATTAATCATATCATCCTCAAGTGTAAAGCCCCAAAAGGTCCTGAACTCCACAGCCCCGGCCCCCACAGCCGGAAGGCCTTCACTGCCCAAACCCCCAAAGCCCGAAATTCGGAAGTCCTCACCCCCTAAAGCCCCAAAGACCAAAAGCCTGGAAAGCCCTTAATGGTTTAGGGGTTTAGGGTTTAGGGATTAGGGTTAATGTTGGGGTTTGGGGTTTAAGGGTTTAGAGAACCCAAAATGCCCCAGGAAGTGACTCACCGGCAAAAGTGGATGGCCGAAAACCGCGTCGTTGCAGCAGAGGCGCCTGGCATAAAGCTTGCAAGTCATCCCAAATTAAGCCCTATAAACCCTAAGTTCCCAGCCCTAAACCCAAAACCGTAAGACCTTAAGACCCTAGAGGCCCTAGAGCCTAAATCCTAAACCCTAATCACGAAGCCCCTAAACCCTAAACCGGGTGTGGGGCCGAGGGTTCAGGCAGGACCCGGAGTCTCTGACAACCCCCACCCCTAGAAGCTCTAAGTCCTAAACCCGCACACCAGTGCGTGTCTGTGAGGGCAGGCTAGGGTGCTCGCTGGACACATCGCACTTAAAAACAAAAGCCTGAACCGCGAGATCGCGATCCTTTGCAAGGGGGCCGTGCGACGGGTAACTCTGGGTCTCCTTTGACCTGGGTTCTTGCGAATACTGGGGCCTAGCATTAGGGTTCTATGGGGGTCTATGCCATGAGAGTTCTACATTTTAAGGCCTGCATTAATTGGAATCGGATGTAGGAGCATATTATGCTAGAAATTCTATTTGGGACCATTAATTATAAGAGATCAGTATTGCTAGCTATTGCGGCCCCTACATTCAACGTACGTGACAGTTGAGGGTTTGAGCGTTTTCGGGTTTCGGGCGGGTTAGGCTTCGAGTTGGAGTGTGGGAATCGCACACTGCAAAAGACATCCAAAACGTTCATCAGATCCGGTACATGCATAGGTACACACATCCACACATGGGGCTTATGTAACCCTGCTATAAATTACAAGGTTAGCCCTGTTGGGCTAGAGTACTCAGCAGCAAAGATACTGCCCTGAGCATTGGCTTTGTCTTGGCAGAGTCGACTTCAGGATCTGGGATGTTTCCTTAAATCCTAAACCCTAAACCCTAAATCCTAAAACCCTAAAACCCTAAAACCCTAAACCCTAAAACTGGGATGTTTCTCTTGAGAGATCCCAACCCACTGCCAGGTGAGCATAAGAAAGAAAGACTTCACCATCGAGGAGTCCGAAGGGTTCCTAGGGTTTGGGGGTTTTGGGGTTTTTGTCCATGAGCTTCTTACGGGACAAGAGGAGGGACAACTAGAAGGGACCCCTAATCCTAATACCCTATATAACCCTTATATACCCCTTATATACTCCCTATATAACCCCAAGGGTCCCTTTAAGGGTCTCTCCTTTTGTCCCTTGAGCTTAGGGTTTACCGCAGCCTGGCCTAATAGAGTCTCCAACTGCTTCACACCTTTTCGCTACGCCGCTACGCATGAAGGGAAGTAACCTTGCGATTCAAGACGAACCCATGT